TGTGAAAAAGAGAGCGGCAAGATTATGAATCTGAAAGATTGAGTCTCCGCCCCATGGATAAAACCATGAATAATATTTTACAGACGGCTAATTTGAAATGTGAAACTTGATGTCGTTGTGCAAATGAATTTATGCAAATGTAATAAGTCACCACATAATGAATGCTCCGGCACTCTTGTGCCGAGCAATGCTGTGTCGATCTACGGAAAATGGACTACATCAACCAACATCACCACAAGAAGGTGTCAAGTAATATAATTCATTAAAAAGTGTTAAATATTTACATTAATTTAAGTTGCCTGTCATATAAACAGCAATTAATATTTTTATTTTATTTCTTATGTGTCAAAAGTACCTTCGCCTTTTGTTCTCTCTCTCTCTCGCGCGCACACCCATCAATTATCAGAGAATTTTAATATAATATTCAGTTGTTAACTTTGGCCTAATTTCCGTATATTTATCCGCATTTGTGGCGAAAATTAAAAACATCTGTGTCACTTCAAAAAGTGTCGTTTTGTAAACGTTTTATTGTAGAAATGTATTTGTACGGTCAATGGTAGTGAAAAAAGGGGACGCATTTAAAATGAGAACGAGAGACGACAATTTGACATTGGAATCCGTTTGTGCACAAACAAACACCGTACCGCTACTCCACCATCAGCAATTACATCGATAATAATAATTTTCCGTTTTAAATTTCTGTGCGGCGTTTTTTGCTCTCGTTCACTTGCGCTTATTCGATTGTTATCATTTCATCAGTTGAAGTACTTTTGAAACGACCAACCACTCGACCGCAATTACAGCTTAGCGAGTGAACGCTGAGCATTTTTTTGGCAACGCTTCAACAATGCGACAATGATATTAATGAGAGAAACAAGGGAAATAACAGCTCCTTAGGGTAATTCGCATGAATAAAAATTTTCTGTCGTCTTTCAAGCGGTGAAAAAAAAACATTCCCAGCACACACACAAAAAAAGCGAAGTGGTTTGCCAACAGCAAAACGAACTTGATTCAACTCCTCATAACCAAATACGATGGCACTTAGCGTATTTCCATTTTATGCTCTCTTTCAGCGTCAGTTTCGCTTTTAACTTTCGAATGTCGAGAGTTGCTTCGAATGAATTTTTCAATATATTGGCCGCTTGAAAAGACCAGTGTTCACTGCGAGAGTATCGTGTGTGCGTGTGTGAGAGTGTCTCACTTCAAATTATGATCGAAACCAATAATAAAATGCTGAATAAAAGAGGAGCCCGCCATAACAAAATGTAAATCGTATCACAAGCGCATAAAAGATGAGATGAAAACTCGCAAAAAATTAATGGAAAGACAAACAATATGTACAAACAACGACCATCAACACCACGGTGACTACAACAATGATGCTCAACCAAAAAAATTGAGAATATCTATTATTTCATTCGGGTTTGACATGCGGCTGTAAACAAACTGTGACACAATCTCACTGGAGAGATAGGGAAAGCAAAATATCACTGCAGCCATTTACCGTTTGACAAAAGTGCGAGCGAATTTTTCCAATGCTCCTGGAGGGAATGATTCCAACAACAGCCAAACAAACAAATACAAAAAAGAACCCAAGAATCACACCAGTCGACATTGAATGTGACGTTGAAGTCATCTCATGAAAGTTGAACAGTCGTCGAAACCCCAATCGAATACGAAACACAAAGAAAAAAAAACGATTGGAAACTACGGCAAGTAAAGCAGCAGCCCATTTCCATATTGATTTTAAAATTTACGACCACCAAATCGAAAAATAAATTTTCCTTTTTAAATGCATTAAATTCTCGATGAGTTTTCCTAAGCTTAGTACCACACACACACACACACGCCAAACACCTAACACACAAAAGTGAGGCGCCGCCGAATTTCTTTTTTCTTATATAGTTCTCTCTTTCTCTGCACGTCTACCGTTTTCCATTTGGCTGCAAAGCGCCAACAAAATCAAAATAAATTCTCTGTGTGTGTTTGCTATTTTCAAACCAAAGAATGGGAGATGATTGCATGTAGCGTTCGAATAAAGACCAGTTTTTTTCTGTATTCGGCATCATGAAGCGAAACTACACTAGAGTTTATGCATTGCTCTTCACTTGGTTTAATCGAACATTGCCGGTTGAGTGGCATACACATTTATGAGTTGAAAATGGCATGAGCATGAGCTCTTTGTACAAATAATATAAGTCAAGCTACGTCGTCGTCAATGTTGTTGCTGCCATTGTGCTATCTTTCTGCATTTCAAATGTGCGTGCGTGTATCCGGGGGGGAGAACGGGGATCATATTTAGCATACGTGTTTTACGCCGTGTGAAGTGAAGCATTTTGTCAATGTGCTCTTACTGTTATCGCTCTTGTGCTGCTGCTGTTGATGTACATTTTGCTTCTGTTTTTGCCATTTTTTTTTATTCATTTATAAAAAGTGCTCATGTTATTTTAGTTTTCAGCAGAATCGAGACGAGACCACTTGCCGTTCTGCATAAAGCATTGCCTAAAATTAGTCATTGCACTCGATGACTTCTTGCACCGTAAGCGATAATTTTAAAACAAGAATTTAGACTCTGGCCCATATGATTTCCACCGCATGCTCTTGTATGCTACATATTAAAATGCTGTTGTTTTTGCCGGAGACACTGACGGAATTGTTGCTACATTTTGAAATGCTCATTCATGTTTGCACTTTGAATTTCATTTCTCTTTCATTCTCACAACTATTTTTTTTTATCTTATATTCATTTCTCGGTGGAAAAAGCCATTCCGGCTGAATAACGCTGCTTGGTGCATTCCTCACGTTGCAAACCAATGTGTGTATAAAAGGTGACGTTTATTTGCTGAAAGCTCACCTAAATCCTTTGAGCTTTACCGCAACACCAATTTATGCGGTTTTTCTATTTGCTCAATTTATGCAAGGCAATACGGTACAGAGATTTTCACATCGGCACAAGGTATTTCCTTGTCGGTGCCTTGGTGCATATAGAAAACATGTTTACATTATACGTTGTGTTCAGTTGTTGAACGAAATCATATTTCAATATGTGTTTGGGTGTAATCGATGTGAACCGAACGACTGTCGGTTGTAAATGTTTGTAAATAGTATAGTTGGTCTTGGTGTTTGTATCGGTCGTTTTATTACTATTTAAAATGCTATCAATACCCATGAATAACACACCGACCAACACACTTTTGCATGCTGCGATACATTGCTTTTGGGATAGCCCTTTTATTCTTTGCATCGTGTTGTAGTTCAACTGATGATGACATGATTCTACATCGTCGCTATATCTCATTTCAAACGGAAGGAGGTAGAGCGTTCTCACACGAAATAAAGGCCCATGTTGATCGTTTCGATCAATGTAGCTTCCAGGGGCAAATAAACACCAATGCAAGTTGATTTAAATTATTTCAAACCCAGCAATCACCAGACACTCTACTGTCACATTTACCATTGTATTGACAGTAGAGTCAGTTTATTCGGTCTTAAATCGAATTCCACTCCATTCCTCAACTTGCCTTTCTCCTCTATTGTTTTTCTTCATTCCGTTTCCGTCTTTGTTGTCTCAATCAAAAAAAGGGGTGGACAACATCACATAACTCAATTAAAATAAATCGTACGAAAATCAACCGCAAAATTTTAACTGTCATTGGTGGTGTCGGTGATTTGATTTATATGCATGTAATTGAATAGTAAAAAAGCATTCATTGTGTAAATCCCAATCATGTAAAGTCCAAAGGACGAATAAATGGCAAAGTCATACAATCTAAATCTAAAATCAAATTGCATCGAAGCAATTCAATGCCACTTTTATTTATATGACCCAATGCATTTCGAAATGTACCATTTCCACAATTTGAGCGTAAAGAGCATGTAAAAGTGGGGAAAATGTTTTCGGCAGCCACTTAGATTTATCCGAAAATGTGTTGTATATTCGATTCTATTCAAATGAGTTGGCATACACAAATCACAGTCGAAGCAATACATACACAAGAGAAAAATATTTCTTTTCTCGGTTTTGTGCTATGTTCATTGTGCATTTTTCCTGCGGCCTGTGTTCCGGATAATGTTTTGTGTGCTAAACAAAACAACTCTATTTTAACCCTGGCAAGATTTTTGGGCCACATTCCAAATAACACGCGCTTCAATTCAATTCATTGGATTTTTGCTGTGCGATTCGATTTATGACCATTGAAATTGATATTTTTACTGGGTGATGTGGCTGGTTGAGTGTATTGTTTGGTTTTCGGTTAAACAAAATATAACTTGAAACGGCAGCATTCCGCTCAAAAAGCACAAACACACATTCTCACACTCGAAATCGGCTAATGGCCGAAGAAAGGCTTTTCTCGGTTGATTTAAATGCTTGAATGGCTCTACATTGGCATCACAATTAGGTTTTAATATTCTATTAAACGGTTTTGCTACACATACACACATGCTACTATTAAAGCTGCTCCAACAAACGAATTCATCCCATTTGATCCCATATTTATGTATTCACACACATACACACACACACGAACACAACGCCACAGCTATAAAATGTTGCGCATTGAAGCCAATGTTTGTCTATGGATTTGGTTTCACGTGTTTTTTTTGCTCGCTGTTTTTATTCATTCGTACTTCGAGCGTTTTAAAATTTTGATGAATTCATTCGAAATTCTAGCAGCTTTATTGCAAGCATATTGCGTCAATTACATTTGCAGTAAGTTTTTTTCTTTTTAGTATGCGAACGACTTTGGGATTTCAATAAAATGACCATAAAACCCATTGAGTCGAACGTGTAGAGAAAGCACATTGCTAATGGAGAAAATAAACAAATCTGCCTAGTGTCACACCGTCATCTCTAATTGACTGCCGAGTTGCTGGTGAGTACGCTATCGTTGTCAGCATTCAATTTTGTCCACATATTTACTTGATTTCCGGAGCTGAACCCGAACAGAAGGATAAATAAAATAGACTGCAAAAAAGCAGCTTGACATTTTTGTACTTACAATCAACGCTCACTTTTATCCTCTTCGAAACAGTTGGGGGCACATTATTCGATGCTGCGAAATAAAAACAATAGACAGAAAAAAGCATAAGAATACAAATAGGGTAAATATAGATACAATTCAGATTACAGTAGGTACAAATAGGTAATGGTTTATGTATTTAGAGAATGGTACTTTTATATGTGAGGTGAAAATCATTTTTAACACAATTTTCGACCTAGTTTTCAACTAAAAATGTATTTAAATTAAAAGAACAATGCCAAAAAGTTAGCCAGCTGTCAAACTCAATTGTGAATTTTCATGGGAGTGACAGAGACAAGCATACAAATTTGACAAGGCTCTTTCTAATGCCACAAAAAAGTCAGACTTAAAAATTCTTTGAGTTCAAGAGGCAATCAAACTACTTGGCAGTGAAGAGGTCAATTTCGTTTTGCAATTCGAGATTCTTGATGGGAATCTCCATTTTTTTCGAAAGTAAAATTGAAAAAATGTGTAACGATCGACAATGAAAATTCTACTGTCACGCGGCAAATTGTGATGTTTGCCGCCCGTACTGTTTTCTTCTTAAAATTAAAATTAATATAAATTTTCAACTTACCAATGCCTGGAAAGAAAAAATAAAAAATATAAGTTAAAAATTACTGCTTTTTCCCATGTATGCATATCGTCACTTACACAGATAGGAGCCCATGTCAAGCCGGGATATCCGTGATATTTCCAATGTGTCACCGTCCCATTCACTGACTGTACCAAGAAAAAGAAATTTCAAAATTAATGAATTACCTACTGCATGGCCTTTAAGGTAATGCGCCTGATGCTGTAATATTAAATCTGTATAGGTTGTGGCAAGGTCCATCCTTTATAGGACTCCTGAAGAACTGTGAACCGAATCCGTTCATAGGTTCGGAAGTTACAGGTCTCGAATGAGAGCGACCTGCAGCTTTCTGCTTATAAAGTAAAAAATCGAAGGCGCATTACTGTTCGACCCATGTTCTAAATGCGTCGAAAAATTGTAGCAAAAAATGCTATTCGCCTTTAATATTTAAAAAAAGGCAGAGCTTATTCTAACAGTAACAAGTCTATTGAAAATTCAATTTTGAATGACGTAACAATCTGCGGATCGCATGTTGTTTTTCGAACGTTGGTGCTAAAACACAAAATCGTTTCACACTCATCTTCAATGAAGGAAAACCCATTAAAAGTTTTTTTTGTTCAGTCTTTCGTATGTGTCTGCGGCGGGTCACTTTTTGTTCTGTCGACATTTTACACGAATGTGGAATTGAAAATACGAACGAACCAAAATGCACAAACGCGACCTATGTATTGTTTGTATTTTTTACCCAACATTGAACAGTTCCTTGTTTTTGTTCTGCATGTATTCCATAAAAGAGAAGGAATAAAGCCCCTGCGATTTTTTTCTGGCGACAAAACAATGCAATAAATGGATATATCGTACAAAATAGCGATTAAATGTTTGAAAAAGAAAACAAGAAAAAATAAATTAATTATCACGCGCTGGGCGCGTCAAGTGGAATGCTACAAAGTGTGGGAAGGAAGCTTAATTGAAAGTAACCATTTAGACGCATGTTGAACAACCACTACACAATGCACTTTGTATACATTCTTTTACCCGTTACTATACTCACCAACAAGTGATTTATTTATGGCGATTTTTTCCATTGAGTCTCGCTTCCACTTTACAGTTGGCGTTGGTGATCCAGAAGCTCTACAGCGTAGCGTCACATTCGAACCTTCACGCACAATTACGTCGCTCGAACTCAGCGAGTCGTCGATGTTTGGCGGTACTGTGCGCATGCATGCAAGTGACATTGATTGTTGTTTTTATCGTCGGTCAACATGTAAAAAAATAGAGGAAATTTATTTGGAGTTGAAAAAAAAATCAATCTATGACAGAGTTTCGTTGCGATATTCATTCGATTCATCCATTCCAAAAATACAGTTAATTATCGGCGACAAACAATGAAGAAAAAACGCATGCATAAATGGAATTCTCATGAGTGCAAAAGTCTGAATGGTGATGGTGGTGACATCGAAAATGACTCGATGAGAAGCGAATGATTTCCGAAAAGTCGTAAATTCCATTCAGTATAATTTCTCAATATGTTTAACGAAGAAAAAATAAACGGAAATTCACAGCACAAAGTACAACATTGTCATGATTTCATTTCCATGGTAATGGTTTCATAAATTACTGTAACACACAAACTACAGATTTCGTTTGGAGTAAGCGTAAAAACAGCAGCATTGTGAATAAATAAGGTAAATAATCGAGGGAATACGGGAAAAAAAAGCATTCAAGTGACAAGACCAAACAAAAACATCCAACAGTTGAAAAGAAGAGAAAAACACATCGCACGAAACAGAAGAGGAAAAAAGCTAATTTAGATTATCTCTCACTCAGTGGAAGTTGCGACAAACAAAGGTTTTGCTGTCAAATCTGTCGACAAAAGTAAATCGAATTCTGTTTCGGAAAAAAAAACTTTCTTCTTTCATCGCTCATGTTCCCCCTTCTCTCTTGCACCTTCACTCTCTCTCGTGATAACAAGCTGCACAACAACAACAGAAGTTTGGCACGTTTGACATCGAAGCAGCATAAATATTTCATTGACAAGGCGAAGAACATTTGTTCAATTTGACTGGATGGCACTTCGCCGCCGCCACCGACGACGACTTGAATGCTCCTTTCGAGTGCTTTATGTTTTAATCATGCATCTACTACAAGTAAACTTTTTGAAAAGTGCTCAGCCCAAAAGTGGCTCTGAATTTTGAGATGCGTATTTCCAAATATAATCCGCCATCGTCTTCGTTCAAGACTTCTTGCCTGTTTCTTGTTCTTAGCCATCTTGCATTCAAATTAACTTCACGTGAATCAATGTGACATTTTATTCACGTTCTTTAAAAAATACATAGAAAATTCAAAATGATTTCTTGACTTTTCTGAAGTGGCAATCCTATTGAAATATGTTCATCGTCCGTGCTCTCATTCAATTTTCCGAGACGTAATTAATTTACACAAAAACACTGAAGTTGAATTAACTTTTTCTCGAAATGGTAATTTTTAATAAAGCTCGATGAGTGAAAATAGCGAAAAAACTGGCTAGATGTGCTGAAATTCAAAGTGTTTTTATTTCGGTTGGATTGAAATAACACTGTAAGAACTACAGATAGAAAAGAGCGGAAGGAAGCCATAAAGAGTGCAAGAAGAGAGATAGAGAAGAAGAAGTTCGTAGATCAAATTCGCTTCTATTGTGAAATACATAAAAATATTACCATAATGAGGAACAAAAAATTAATAATAGCCAAACACATGTAAAAATCAAGCATTTACAAGACGAACTTATGTTGTTACAATTTCGGTTAGCAGTGCATGAAGGCACGCCAAGAACATCTGCAATCGAGCAAAATAGTTTTAAAGTATACTTTTGCGAGAGCAAATTGCTGGGTAAAACTTTACCGGTTTTTTAAACAATAGTCTTTTCTTGAAGAACCATCGTCCAAATCATCAATTCTTGGGGAAAAAAATCATTTATTCGACTTTTTTTCCGTATTGTCAAGAACTTTTTCGTTTCTTATAAAAAGGAAAAATCGCTATTTTTTCACTTTCCGTTTTAAGTGGGAAGCCTCGGTTTTCACCTTCAGCACGAAAATTCGTTTGGTAATAATCGTTTTTAATTTTTACACTCATAATGGGATGCTATTAAAACAGACATGTTGCCTTTGCATCTGTTTCGGCTGCTGTTATCGATTTTACCAAAATGAGGGTGTGAGACCGAAACAACTCGAGCAAGGGGCAAGAGTGAACTTTTGTTCGTTTGAAAATCAAAATTGCCCCTCGATAGTCATTACATTTCATTCAGCAATCTCTTGTATAAAACTTTTCGAGATAAAACATACTGGGTTATGATGCAGCACATGTAGCTTGTTAACCGACGAGACAAAGGCCAATACACGTTGTGTATTCTGGGTTCGGTCATTGTTTGACTACGCACAAAAGGATGTTCATGACCCCAAAAATATGCAAAAAAACTTGTGTAGGTTGATTAAATTAAATGTTTGGCAATAAAGTTTTGCCTCAACAAAAAAAAAATATTGTGTAATTTGAATGATTGTTCATTACATTGAGTATATTGTTACCATTTTTAAATACAGGATCAAATGAACAACGGCCTACGATATGACATTCACCGAAAATTGTGCACGTCGATAATTCAAACCTTAAGCATTGCAATACAACACCACATTTGTGGATTTTATTTACAATCTACTTGCTACAATCACATTGCTCGGTTGGTCGTGCGGTGTTCGGTTGTTAAGTCAAGTGGGAATTGCAGTTTTAAATTCACACAACGAATATTACAAAACTTAAAATTTTACTATCGTTGAAACGGTAAATACATCAATTTGATTAAATTTTCATATTTTACTTGGCCAATTGCCGGCGTGTAGTTTAGCTCACCTTTATACGCAGACAGAGATAGAAAATCCAAATGTTCCGACAATTTAAAGTTTGTACATGGAAAATGCAGCATTTGAACACAGCAATTCGGTGTGAGTGTGAAAAGTTTGTTCCGGTGGCAAATCCGGGTTTCGGCAACAATGAGAAGATAAATAAAATTGCTCGGTTATTTAAATGATTCACACGTGCCCCAAATCAATCTCATCATTAAATCCAGTTAGAGTTATTATGATGAGCATTTTTTTTAACGTTCGACTTTTTCATCAACATTGAAAATATCGATATTTTTTGGCCTTTCTTGAGAGCAAGCCAGTGGTAAAGTGGCGATTTAAATGTTGAATGCGATGGATTAGCAAACAATGAAATTGTTTGATTGCTTGAAGGATTAATCTTGAAATCCAATTTCTACAAAGAAATTTCCTTAAAATTCCATTACCTTGACCACTCCTAGAAATACATATGTACCGTTGAATGCAACCAAAAATACCATTTAATGATTTTTCATCGGTCATATTAAGTGAATGGCTGTTGAAGATTGTGAATTGAAGACGATTTTTTTAGACGATAACCTTTCTCTAAGTTACTTCGAATTGATATAATGATTATTCTCAAATAAATGTGTGTTGATCAGTTAACGAGTGCCCTATTTATTTGTGCTTGCTGTATAGTAAGCTATCGTTGTTAAATTGTGTATCATAAATAATGTTTGTTCAAATGTTGGAATTTCCCATTCCGATGGAATATGTGAGTGTATATTTTGATTGATAGAATGTAATAAAATTCAGTTTTACGGTAGAATTGCGAATGGCAAGCTCATGAAAGAAGAATCACAGCAAGCAAATATTGATGCAGTAATGGAGAAAGTTTGGTGTAAATCGTAAACGGAATAAAATCGAAGAATATCGTCTCTAGAGAATATCGATTACGACACACAGCATCGACATAAGTAAAACAGCAATAAGAGAACTACCTTTGGCACTGATGCAATTCATAAAATAGCCTGTCAGACAGCAATAATAGTTGAGCGTCGCATTGGCATCACTGAATCTATTTGTAAATTCCATCGAATAAACGATGTGCCAGAGATGGTGAAAAACAAGTGCTTTTTGAGAATGGCCAAAGAGAAAAAACACACGAAAAGTCACAGAAAAAGCGATGTTTGTTTGGTATGCAAAGTCGACGGCTTGTCGAATGTACAACCATTCAAACAAGAAGCCAAAAAAAGTACGAATCGAGAGAGAGAGAGAAAGTGAAAACGATAAAATATTCTCTTTATTCTGGGCGAAAAATAAATGGGCAAAAGCGACAAAAGTAAGTTGTATGCTGAACAAAACTATGTGCAGTCGCAATGATTTTATATTTCTTTGTGAATTGAAAACGAGCTCAAGTGGTGGAGTTTGTTTTTTGTTGGCCACTCTTGAAACTGTCTGTTAGCGGTAACCACTAACGTCATCGAGAGATTGATTCGGACATAAATGCGAAAGCAGCATGTTTTTGTCAGTAAGATTTTTGCGTATGTGTCTCATTTTTTTTCGCATCTCTTCTTCATCCGAATCACAGACGAATGAAATTATTTTCGGTTGCATTGAACATAAAAAAAATGTCGATGCATATGCATAGAGAGTTGGCGTTTTCCGTACAATAATTTTATAAGCTTCGTTGCATACACAAATTGAAATGCAGATTTTAAGATTTCAATTTTACCATTTCGCTTGAGTTCCGCTCCACTTTTCTTCGAAACAAACTTATGTGTGTTTTCTCCCTTCGAATCGTGCCGCAGTCCGACTTATACTCTTTTTTTCGTTTTGGTAATCGCTTTATTTTTTCCTTTCTTTTTATTTGGCTTGTTGTTTTGCAATTTTGTGCACCTTTCACAAGTTATCTCTATACCTCTCTCTGTATACATAATTCCGGGAGTAGTTTTGAAATGCGCTAGTGAATGCCTCAAGCCCCATTTGTATATGCACACTCATGAGTGCTTTGCAAATCGTATATCCTTTGCGAATGCCCAAATAAATATATACCGAACTTATTTGATATGTATGAAGATCTCATCATTTTCCGGATTTCAACTAAAATATCTCTATCTCTCGCACTTTTTTTCTCGACTATGTCGGGGTTAGTTGTTGCGTTTGAAAGAAAACTCCTATAAAGAAGTAACTAAGTACTTGAGTGAAGCATGTAAAGTTTGCTTTTCTTCATCAGCATCATCAGAATCGTCTCGTTTCGTTGGTACGGTGTGGATATGTGTGTATTCGTGCGATTTGTATTTGCTTTCACTCTCTCCACTGTGTGTGTTTGGAATAGTTTCGAATGAAAATTATAGCAGTACCTCTTACTCCGGTTTCGGCCAATGAAAAGAGCAAAACTTATTAATATTTAATGAAAAAAAAGAGAAACGAATGCTTCGGCTTGCACTCAAACACAAAAAAGGAGAAGAGAGAATCCCAAATAACAACAAAAGTTTGAGCCGAAGACAAAAAAAGCAACGCTTGTCGAAATGTCGAGAGATAAGAGGGAGCCCATGCACCGAGTGAGCCCGAGTGAAAGAGAAAATATGCTCGTTATGTTACGAATGAATGTTTTGATGGTTTTATCTTTTGAAATAGCATAAAAACCGCTTACATGCAACCGAACAACTGCCGTTACAACAAGGATCGACCACCCACTCTCATTTGAACATTTGATTTGATTTCATCGCTTCCTTTTCTTATTTCTCTACTTATCTCAATAATGTGGTAGAATATTCTTAAAGTTCAACAAAAAGTGGAAGAATAAGCAGAGAGCTTAAGCAACAGTAGCATCAGCACCAACACCAACCGATATCGGTTGGGTAAATTGTAATGGGTAATTCGATGGCTGGTGGTAGATGCATATACATTGTCGACTGTGTTTTTTCGGTGAGAGAAAGGTGCAAATGAGACCGTCAGTTTGTTAAAGCAACCGTCGTTGGCGTCGACGTCGTCATCGTTATTATAATACACATACGCAAACCACAATACAATATGCGGAATTGGTTAAGTTAACAACGAAATAATTCACAGAGAAACTCTATCGCTGTGTATTTTCATTGCACGTTTAACTTTGCGGAAAAGCTTGCTCGGATTAAAATCGCAAATCTCTTCGGAAACAAGTCATGTAATTTGTTACTTTTCCGGAGCGCATCATTCGAAATTGTTTCAGTCCCTCGTTGTTGATGAGTTGATGAGTTTGAATCCGATTTAAGATGACGATGAGGTGATAATAAGGCGCTGATGGGACTATGTATGAGCATACCTGTTCATACGCAGCTTTCACGATGAATCGATTCATTTCAACGAATCAGAGATTACTCACTAAGTCGTTGGTTTAACTTTCGATTTTTCGGTTGGTGCGACATCCAAAATTGATGATACATTAATGTGATGGGTATAAATCCGACTTGGAGACACTTTTTCGATAAATAAGACGTGTATATTTGACGCTTAAGACAGTGCGCATTCCATGTGGGTTTTTTTTCTCTTCTTCTTTGTATCTTGAGTGAAAAATTTTCAAATGCTTGAAATTCCCTTGCGAACAAAACCATCGAAATATGAACGAGATGAAGTAGAAAATTCATGAAAATTGCATTGTAAAATGTAATTTTCTTTTCTTCATGCATTTTGATCTTCTGAAATTAGAGACGGTGGATAAAATGTGTTTTCTTCTATCTCGACTTTTGTTTCACCTCAAGAATTTTTCTCATATCTCACTCGTTTTTTTTTTGTTTAAATTCCAACATAAAAATTTCGCCCGAAATATGTCGAAATTTGTTCATTTTTACTAAGCCGAGCACTTCATTCTACGATTTTTGATATGCTTTTAAGTAAAATGTCAAAAATTCTACAGAAACAATACGCAATATGCAACCCAATCTTGTTCCGGATTTTTTTTTTCATTATGTGCAATGTTTTAACATCGATGCACACACATTTCTTGTTGCATTAAACGTCAATCGTCGGACATGTACCGCAAATAAGAATTATGGGGAGAGAGAGAGCGAGAGTATAAAGTGGCAAGCGAACAAACATGAAGGTAAATCCACAGTCAGCAAATTTTGCAACACGAATGTGTAAAGAGAAAAAATGCAATTGATGATGTGAATTCGTGCATTAACATTTTAAATGGATGCGAACAAAACAAATGACATCGTGGTAACAACAGCAACAGCGAAAAAAAGATGAGTGTGTAAAATCAACGACGGCGGTTACAATAGCAGCGCTTTGCCATGGCGAAAATGTACGGAAAAACTCTCTTGATTCTGCCAAATGTGCATTTGCATCTTTCGCCAGCGCATTGGAAAATGAAGTGATGCAATAACTGTCGACATTGAAACGAAGTGTAATTTAAAATGTTAATATGCGGCCATGCAAGTAAAAAAACAACAACAAAATACAAATACATAAAATCGCTCGAGAGAGAGAGAGAGAGAGATAGAGAGAGAAAAAAATAAAATATATTGACTTCAAATGGCATATGTAAAACAGGTTAAATATTCTGAATAAAAGAAGAGCAAAAAAGCATACAACGGACGCGAAAACAACGGTGCACAATACACTGGCAGTGAATAAGCAAAAAGTGAGTGGTGGTGAATAAATGGGCGAAAACAAAACATGCGGTTAAAATAAACAGCGCACCAAATGTTATACAATAAATTATTTTATAAGCGGGGAATCAACACGATATGTGCATTGCACTGTACACGGCTGATGAACGGCTTCCAAATAAATTTTCGAACGAAATTTAAAGAAACAACAACAACTACTACGAATGCAATGACATCGATGACGCCAACAGCGATTTAAATTATATACATGTACAACATAAAATTGGTGTTTAACAAAAGGTGATGAACAAAGCTGCTAAATGGCAGTTTTCGAAGTGCGCGAATATCAACGAATTTAAAGCTGTCGTACGTATCGACCACAGTTATTATTTAAAAAAAAAAAAAACACAAAAGTATCATTTTACCTACGACCACCAAATATCCATACTGCGTTTTGGCTGTCACGGTGTTTATTTGACACTGTAAAAAAAGAAGAAGAAGATTCTCAGTTTTCGATTTGCTTGTTGGACATTGTTTCGGTTGTCGAACCATATATCGGCCTTTATCCTCTTCCTGCACATTGCTAATGTGAAGATACCACGTTTTATGCTTATCATGTTTATCATGTGTTACACTGATCCGTGGATTTCGGGTGATTACATGGTTGTGCACTGTCAAAATTGCCTAAACACAAAAATGAACAAAAAATAGTGTGATTTGTTAGTGAATCGAAAAGGCTGAATCGCAGCCGTCAACATTTTTAAAGGACAATTTTACCGATTGCTCGAAATGCATCCAAGCTAACTGAAATGGAGAGAGAAAGAGAGAAAGTAAATGATTTGTACTAAAAAACGACCTAAAATACGAAAAGAAAGTGATTAGTGAATAAAATTACAAAGGGTATTATATTTTTGTTATCATTTGATTGAAATTCTTTGTGATGACTCGAGAAAACCGTTTATCTCGATTTAATTTATCCCTGGGGGAAGACACGTGAAATAGCGTTAAGAAAATTGCAGTGGAATAGACAATTTCGACTACTAAATTCACTGTAGTCAAATCACTGGGTTGCTGCAAAACACGTATCACTGCCGTCATCCCTGTTTAGCGTAGTGAAGGATTAATGAAATAGTGAAATCACGCATTAATCGTTTGTGCCTTCCCCTAGATTTAAGCTCGATGGATTGAAACATACAAAATCGCATTGAAAAATAATCGTTGCTTAAATAATCAACGACTTCCACCAATTATTTTTGGGACAAAGCCTCTTCATTTAATCGAAGAATCATTTAAAAATAGATTTCATTCGATTTGGTGGCAAGTCGGTAGCTATTATCTTATCAGATTGTACGAGCGATTCACTCTTTAATCGCTTTCAATAAGAACATACTTCTGAACAAAAGATTTGCATCATTCATCTTCTTCGCTTTTGTCGCTTTTTTTCTTCGTTTCCATTCATGTTGAATGAGAATGTCAAATTTAAACTAAACGAAGCTAAACAACTATTTATTTACCATGTCGATATTGGTTGGCAAAAATTGAAAGATACACATGACAATAAGATGCTTGAATACATCCAAACAATGAACACTTGGATGAAGTGCCAACATTCGATAAATCGAATGCATTTACAAAACAATAAAGAGAAATGAGAACTCAAAAACAGTGACAAAAACGAAAACAACGGTATTGACGACGACAACGATGACGTTGAGAACGCGCGCGATCAGTTTAAAAGATTAGTCAAGACAATACACGTCGAACGAATGAAGAACGGCGTACATATATTCGAATGAGAAACAAAAGCTGCATTTACCGCCAACAATCGAAAAACATATTGAATTTTATCTGAAGCATATAGCAAAATACAAGGTGTGAAGTAGAACGTGATTCGCATTTTACATATTACAAAGAGAATACCCGAATCGTCGTCGCTATGCTACTTCGCTTAAAATTTAACGAAATAGAAAAAAAGAGAGAATCGAAATGTGAATGCTGGATACAAATGAAAGACAGCGCCAAAGCCAAAGTGAAACCGGTGCGACAGTGTATGGTGGTCGGAAGTGAAAAATGCATGAAGAAATGAATTCCCGTTTTTCACACCATATCGAATATATCGAATACTCATACCCAATTTGTTAGCATCATGATTGGTATGTATGCGCTACAATGTCGCAATATCACACGAACGAAAATGTTCGAGACACACGCAGAAGAAAACGTGCTTTTTTCTCTCATACCGAACTCAACCGAAGTATTTCGCGTAGAATGCTCAAAAGTTAGATTCAGTTAACTCTTTTGAAATGTGTCTCCTTTCGGCTGCTTGTGCAACTTTTTTGCGTGCTCGATTTTGTTTGTGCATATGAAATGTTTCGGTAAACAAAACGCGGTGTAGGCAAATAGAGTTTAACTTGTTCATGTGATTATATATGTTTGTTCTGTTTTGGAATCAAGAGACGTGTCAACGGAAAGTGCCAGCGCATCGTAGCCACTCGACTGCCTGATTGTGCATTGGAATTTATCCGCGAAACGATCTACATCTTCCATTTCAATGGAAACAACTTATGCACCACTAGCCGGATTAAATGGATTTCAAAAGCGGCAAAAAAAAAACTGAAACAACAACGAAACGTCGGCGCCTCATAACACCAAGAAGCATTTTCATATCAGCTCAGCACATCGCAAAAAACTGCTGATAAACCGAAAGGACTTGAAATTGTGTATTACATAAAGTGCTTGGATACTGCTGCTGTTGCATTGCTTCTTTTTTTTTTAAACTAATCTCAGCCACATGTTTCACACTCGCAAAAAATTCGAAAATGTAAACATTGTGACTGGGAATGAAAAAAATGTATGTAGATTCGTTTACAATAAACATAAAAACACAGCGAAAGAGAGAGGAATCGCATTCGAAATGTCGACGTGTAAATTTCTATTTTATGCATATTAATTTGATACGAAGAGATAAAATTTACGGTCTTTTCGTTTTTGAATGAAACAGATGAGTGCATTTCTACTATTTCTTCTCCAAGTTCCAACTTTTTAACACTTATATTGTGGCACTGATTGATATCTATCGCACGCACACACACACAACCACCAATGTATCTTACAAAGTTCATATATTTCTTTCGTCTTCTCTCCCTCTTTCGTTTCGTTTCTTTCATTCGTTTAAACAGCGTAGATCCAACAAATGAAGCACCTTTTTATTCACGTTCAGGTGAAAATAAAGGACATATCAAGAATCAAACGTGATAAAATAATGGCATCCGAAAATGAAAGCTTCATTTGATCTCCCATTTGCTTTAGCGAAGCGGGAAAGAGGATCCACTGTTTTTTTTTACTGTGGAATGACTACTTTGGAATGAAAGTTGATTTTTGTATTAAATGCCATGCTATCCAAATTTTCTTTTAAAGTGTGCGTTATCTCACAAAATGAGAAAACACAATTTTGTTATCTCTCAATTGAAAGTCTGAGATTCTGCCACTTTATTTGCGAAAAAAATACACCAAAATACTCGTTTATTAAAATTGAGTTCTGGACGTCAGAAGATTGAAAAATTAAATAAAAAGTAAAAATAGCTCAACCGAATCAAAGAAAAAATGAAAAGACGCATTTGAATTTTTTTCTATGATTTAAATGAAGCAGCTGTGAGAGCACCGTATAATTTGCTCATATTCACAAGAAATAAAAGATTGGCATTCGCCTTGGTCATGAATGCAATTCACTTTTAACCAAATAAATCTTGATGGCTTTTCACTGTGTTTGAATTACTTCAGCCAAAATGAAATTCATACGAATTTCGTGTTTTCGGTCACTCACACACATCCATGTAATCCGACAAAGTACGTGCTCTTGGTCATTGCGGTAGATTTTAAATACATCGGTTTTATGAGGGAACTTACAAGCTTGTTGAATATGCGATATGAATGATAAAAGAGTAAAAATGATGAATGTTTCAAATGAGAAAAATTTAAAATGTGCACCCAGTGGACAAAATTAAATTTAGTATTTCTTTCTCTTTTTTTGGAGTGTTTGATGCAATCTTTTCAAAAAAATATCAAATTTTTTTTCATTCACATCCGGTTTTGTTTTGGTTTCGCAAGGAAATAGACAGTTCATATAAAAAAGCACGAAAACGTATGGATATGGTCTACATCGCGTGCTGTTGGGAGATGCTTGACGTCAAATTTATTAATTCATTTTAATTAAAATTTCATTTTGCTCTATTTTAGCACATATAGTTTCAGTGCTAATCTGAATGCAATCAAAATGTGTGTTTATCGGTGAGTGTGTGTGCTTTACCTTTGGTTACCTTTTAATTAAGTTTTTTCTTCTCACTTTCTGTGCACTTTTAATAATAAAATTGCTAAAATATCCGGGTGTATTTAATCCATTTTGTGTAGCAGAACATTTTCCGCATGCATGGACCAACTCATCGAGCTAAGCTTGGTGAGACTTTTTACCCCGAAAAAAATACTAGCATTTCATTTTCGTGTTCAAGATGATGCGAGATTAAGCACGGTTTAGCGTTTACTACCTCAAAACGGACTCATATCATTGATTGTACACGAACATAATCTGATATGGTAATAGCAAAATGAAATAAAACGTTGAACATCAAATCAGGCAAATAACAACAAGAGCGACGAAACGAACAAAAAAATTAATTGAATTACACACCAATAAATGGTTTGTATGGTATGGTGGTTTGTTCACATTTATGACCAAAACTTTTTGCTCTTTTCTATTCAATATTCAAGTCGCGCATTGGTTGCTGTAAACGACCGTACAAGAAAGCAAAAGAAAATCAAAGAAAATTCATCAACGAAAAAAATCAATTCAAAGCGATTCGCGGGCGCGAATGTTTGTTTAATAGATTTTCAAGAGCCGAAATTTATTCCACGTTTCAAGACATTCAATCACTAAACATTTGCATTTTTCGTTGTGCGAGTGCCGATTAATGAAAAAACGCGAACGCACCAAATCAGATTTCGACAGAAGAAGAAATTACTTTACCGAATATCTTGTACTAAAAAAAAGATGGCTTGTCTTTCGTAGAATTGCTTAAAAAACATCCTTAACTCACGACATTGCCAATTCGAATAAGGAGAAGAAAAAAAACTGCACGTAAACGCTGGCATTGCTCGTTACTTTAAAGCGCAATTGGGGTAAACCACATGCCGCGGTTGAAAATACAACAGTACAAAACGAACAACGGGAAAAATTGAATAAAATCAAAGACAGAGAAAAAAAATCGAGAGAGTCTGAATGGGAGACTTCGTTCGTCTTGCTTACGCTTGTTAGCATTTTTTTGAAAGGGCAATATAATTACGAATTCCAGTGCACATCCTGCATCGAATTAAATGCTAATAATAAAAATATATCAAATATCATGCCCAAAACGAATGGAACAAACAATGACTAACCAATCCAACAAAAAGAGACACTCGCGTGCCATGAATTTTTTTCTCTTCTCGATCAGAGCGGGTTTGTTACTCACAGCAATGCGGTTAGATTGAATATATTTTTAAGGAAAAATAAATATTGGCACAGGCTGAACGTGCACAAACAATCCAGTCGTGGCTCCTGGCTCACCGAACATCTGACTGCGAAATTAGAAAATCATCGGCGCAAGCATGAAAAAAATGGGGAAACGTAAAAACCGCGGTATCATTTGCATGTCAAGTTGAAACGATTTTTTATTATTGAGCTGAGGAAAACTGTATAGGTCATTGTCTATGCAAACAGTATTTTTTGCACTGTCCAGATCTGATCTTGTGCCTCTTCAAAAAGAAGGTCGCCCACCAACAAACGAGCCCATATTCAATTGGGAGCAGAGAGGGTCTTAAGAAATGATTATCATCAACTTGATTTATGATGAAATTTATGTGCTTTTTGTGTGCTTGTGGCAGCATATTGCGAAACATAAAATGGCCAACTATCACTTTAAATGGGAAAACTTCTATCTCAACAAACAATACACATACTGACTGCTGGAGTACATTCTCTTCATCTTATAGGTCGCATAATCTAGCTCACGAATTTGTTCCATTTCTTTCGTTTATTTATTCTTCATTTCATGTTTCTGCATCTTCTATTTTCCATTCTTTTTGTTTGTTTTCGTTGTTTGTTTTTTTTTTTGAGCGACCGCCACAAAAATTTATGTTGAATTTATATTCATAGCCCACCGAATAGTCGGGCATCAAAATGTATGACTTTATGCAAAGAATACAAATATTACATTCTCTAAATGACAGTATGACATGCTTTTTCATTTCTCTCTTGCTTTCGCTTACAATAAGAGATATAGCAAAAATCTTGCGTTGCTCTTTTTCTGTGTCAAAGCGCACAGACGCTCATTTTTCATTTTTTTTTTCGCCCGCTCTCCCTCTTCGGTCGGACTTTTCTTGTGACTTTTCTATTACTGGCAAATAAGATAGTAAATAATTGCGCTATGAATATGATAGCATCACATTTTTTTTTCACCCTCATTCCACACAAACAAACATTCGCAGCGCGTGGGTGACTTGGCTTTCCGATGATGATAATGCCGATGGGGGTGGCGGTGGATACATGCAATTCCTTAACATATGAATTTGAATATATTATCCACATTTAGTACGTGTTTTCGCAGGCAAATATTCTTATTTATTTTTTACGATTTCTTTAAAAAAGATCGTGAAATGATAGAGGGAAGGGATAAGCAAATTGCATAAGTTGAAAACCATGAAAAACACATGTTCTTCAACTTTTTTATTTTCAACTTTCCCTTTATGGTCCAGCTAGAAGTGCTAGAAGTGCATGTATTTTTTGAAAGATTTTAGCAAATATAAGTTGAGCTTCTTTGGTATTTAATAAATACTATTTATAGTCTTTTAATTGAAGTTGATTAAAAAAATTGAAATGTCATGGATATCGTCGTAGTGTGTTTGACAATCTCATTTGAAACTGCTTTTTGTAAGTGAAGATGTCACAGATTTCTATTACTTATAGCATTTTTACGTCATTGGTCGATAACAATGATCATTAATGGAAGACAAATAAGAGATAAAATATGTTTGATATCGTTTAACCTTTTCTTTGAAATCTTAAAGGATTGGTGTCTTTAAATGACGTTTCAAAGAACGCGATTGTTCATTCTATCAAACTACAAAAACTGCTTCGGACATACAATGTGACACACATTAAGTCATGGTATTTATAGACATGAAGGTTTCTATCACTTCCAAATTTATTGAATTAAACTCATTGAAAATGCATGTGCATTCAGAAACAACCGCAATAATTTTCATGTTCTAACTGAATTTGAATGCCAATAAAATCGATATTTCAATTGGAATGTAAATTATTAACGGACCAATATTAACCACATGTCATGTTCCAATTCCAACCAAAATTATGGCATTTTGTGTAACTTGACTTCGCTACTATTTACGTAAATCTGATTTTCATAAAACATAAATCAAAAACGAGTAACAATTTTTCTCGTTTGATGTGAATTGAAATATCGAAAGTTCGCTTGGTCATGCAATTGCAATTTGAACCATCTTTTTTCAATCCTCTTGACAAATGATTTTTGATGCCGACATTGTAATGCTAAGCTGTAGTAAATCCTTACATCTGCTCTATTTCTCAAGAATATAATAAAATTGAGGCGAACGAGAAAAAAACCACCCATGAAAAATGATAAACAGGTTTTTGTGGCGATGAATAAAACTGTATACTGCAATTGCAAATATCTTGTTGTCTTTCGCTTCACGTAGCATTCTTTTTTATATATTCCGCTTTTTTTCTGCTCACAGAAAATAGATTTATTTACTTTTCACGTGTCACAAGCTCGCACTCTGTCACATACTGCGTTTATTTTGAGATAATAAAACGCTTCACTTCATCGTCCATGGTCAATTCAATGCACGTGAGATTTTTTTAAAAGCATACATTGTTTAGTCATTCTAAGTCAAAGGAATTAACTCTTTATTTTTCAAGCAGCTTCTTTGGAAACCAATGCGAATTTTTGTGTAGACAGTAGTGCTTTTCTTGAGACTCGATTTGAGGGAAACAAAAAACACAGAGTCAAGTGTCTGGAGCCACAAAAGCGTTCGTTCCGCTTTTTCCTCGTTTTATTTTATTTTGTTTTCCCAAAAACCATTTGATTCGAAAATGCTCGTTCAGGCGTGTAATTCACCTTGGCTTCATGAATACGAAAAAAACCAAAGCGGAATTAAGAAGGAAGCCACAGCCATAGTCGTTGGCTTGGAAGATGAGATTTTTTTCGTGTTGAGCAACAGCCGCTGGGAGAAAAAAAATGCCAGAGGAACAAAAACAAAGCAGCAAAAAACATGCAATCGTATAAACTGATAACGATACTTGATATTAGCAATAGGGAGCATTTGTGCATGGCGATATGTTGGCGGTTGGTCTCATCGTATTCGCAATCAAATCGAACGATTCAGAGAGAGAGAGAGCGAACGCATTGAGACTGAGAGAGGTAGATGATAAGAGTGGGAAAAAACAACGTGAGCGAACTAGAGATAGGGGATGAACTGACTGATTTATTGGACGTATGTTTTTATTGCTAAGGAATTTTATTTGTTTCATGCCATTGCTCTGGTATTTGGTTAACAATCGAGCGAAAGAGTCGACAGTGAAGTGGCCGTGAATTTGCGTTATTTTACCCAGCCGATGCCGGTAGCTTTCGAAACACGTAACTTCTAAAATGCGATTAAATGGAATTACAATGAAACAAATTCGATTTTTTTTTTGAAATGGTGATAGTATAATCAAAAATCGTCAACAATAAAAGACTAAGAGAGAAACGAAGTGATTTTGAAACGATTTTCGTTTACTGTATCGCAGAATTAAATTGAATTTAAAAAAAGACTCATATTTTAAACGGCATTGTTCTTCAAAACTATTTTAAGTGCTGTCGAAATGTGATTTGTATCAATGGGCATGGTGTGGCATTTGTGTATGAGATATTGCCATGAATTTAGAATAGCAGCAGAAAAAAATGGACGCCTAACATTTTTTTTTGTTCATTGCAAACCCCGTGAAGCAAAACGTATCACATTCAATACATTCTTCGGAAAGTTGAAATGATTTTTTCCTGTGACCATGGAATATTTCTGTTAATATTCGAAACACCAACAAAAAAAATATCCGCTTGACACTCTGAAATAAAAATGAGTTCAACCAGTCTCGACGGATCCATTTCCAGCATTTTTTTTAACCGTTGCTGCACTTTTTTGTCATCATTTAAAAATGGCATTGTTACGATTTAATAAACTCATACGTGAACACAGCTAAAATTGTCAATAAGCGAAAGCATTTAACACCATGGTAACAGTAACCATACATTCAATGTGTTTTTTAAAGTATTTAATTCACTAAACAAAAGGCTTATTCGGTATTTTATTGCGACAGTTTTTGCTATTTATATGCTGAAATTGTAGACTGATGATGCTATAAAGTACTGTAGAGTTTTCAACTAATGCATAAAAAATGAAGGTAATAACCGATGAAAATAGAAATAAGTTTTTTTTTTACCTTAAATGAGCCGAGATTTTTGACCGAGCATGCCATCCGCACATTTCTTCCTGCTGGAACAGTTACATTTTCAATAATATTCGTGAATTCGGGCTCTTCGGCAATCGCTGTAAATGGGAAAAATGGTAATAAAAAATTATTTTTAATATAATCACAATGATCATGAATATGCATTTCAATTCTAAAACAATGCAAGTTCATATGCAGAATACACAACACACAACCATTGAAAAATGTTGAATATTTTAATATGGTCGAATAATTTGGACACGTGATTTCAAGCGGATCGCTTTTCATGCAGATTGTTTTCGCGTAATGAACTTATCGATTTTGTTTGCGTACACATGCATTTTAATATGGCATACACACATGAGAAATTCTATATTCATAATATAATTATAACTTTTTATGCAAATCACATGGGATTGTTTGTTAGACAGAAGAAGGGTTATTTTTTAAAAAAATTATCGAATTATTCGCCGAATTCATATTTCCTGAAATGCTTTGCTCAGAATAAATTTTACGCTTTTTTATTTGGCTGTTGTCGAAATCGAGTTATCGACTGAAAATTCAAAACTCGGAAGAACTTTAGACAAAATTAGAATAGGATAAAATGTTGCTACATATTTTTGTCTGCTGTTATGCTATGTCGTCGAGACGAATAAATGAAATAAACGACAAGATTGCCAAAATCTAGGGGGTAGACATGATTCATTTGATTCACGGTGATTCAAAAGATTCACATTGTTTAGATGACATTTGAAATGTCATTTATGTGTCATACAAGAAATATTTATTGAACAATTAAAATTATTTGTCTTCGAAAAAATGATTTCTTGACGTTTTTTTTTTTAAATGTATTAACTCATTATTTTTTTTATTTATTTCGTGTTTTTCTAGTAAATTCCAAATAAAATCAACGATAATATTTGGAATTTAATGAACGATCATGTTAGTAAAACCAAAAGTGATGCTTATTTGACATTTGAATGATTCATTTGATTCACTGTGATTCACATGATTCAAAGTTTTATAATTCGTGTCTACCCCCTAGGCCAAAATCTAAAATCTAAAAATAATAAAATTTAAAGAACTGATTTGAAATCTATTTATTTTCGTTTTTGCGCATTGTTGTATACATTTTCCTGTGATGTAGAACCTGTATGAAAAGATTTTATAATTCTGCAACATTGGAAATATTTCTTTAGTTCGATTTTGAGTTTCTTCAAAAAATACTTTGGAAGTGAAGTATGATTAAGGTGCTCAATTTAAAAATTATTTTTAAAACGCACAACCGATCTTCTGAAGCTGTCACAAAAATGTATGCATTCAACTAAATTGAATAAAAAGTATAAATCTCGAATTAATTTTCATTGCAAACCACTTTGGGTGGTCATATCAATGTGTGTTTGTATGCGCGAGAGAGCATTTGATGTAAGCATTGTAATTATACGTTAATTTTTCATTATGGGTGTTTAGAATGGTTTGGTGCACAAAATAAAGATTAATGTATTCAAATTCAGTTTGTATATCATCGCATCAAAGGTTTAAATAATATTTTCATAATCATTTCCGCATTTTGAGTTTGTATGCGTGATATTAATAAATCTATCCGCAATTGTATTGTATTTAAACGGTGTTTTGCATGAAAAGTATATTTTCCACATACACACACACACACACACATGAAAACTGTTTATTTCGTATTCATTTGGGTGTTATATACGCTTCCTCTAGCGCGAATCCAATCATGCAAAACATAAACTGTTTCATAAAAATAAATTTTATACAAATCACTCAACCCAAATGAATACAAAATAGCAAATTTTGCAATTTCATCCGACTAATGACGAATTCATGTACACAATTCAAAAATCGTTTAGAATACCAAGTCTCCGATACGTTGGAGGGCCAAGCATTCAAATGTGGCGATTTGTGTCACACAACATCGGATATTATTGAAAGAAGCTTTTATAAATGCTATTAATTTACTGCACACATAATAAACATCATACCGACACAATGCATTCATAATGCAGAAACACTCAAACCGACGAAACCAATAAATTCATCGGCTAGAATCAAAGTCCATTGCCGTGAATAATCAGTGTGAAATTTGCATAGTTACATGCAATTGATATATTCGAAATAGCAATAATTTGATAAATATTGACACAACCAATTTCGCATGTATGAATGCTTGAATTGATAGCAGGATAGACAATCGCGTTGCAATTATTTAATCGATTGGAATAAATAATGTGTTTAATTTGATGGTGTTTGAAGGATCGCGTTTTGAGATGGTTAAATTATGGCGGCCACGAAATAAAAGTGTTCTTACCATTTGTTGACGGTATAATTCCATTTTTAATTGTGTTTGTTGATTCTCCAGCTTTTATAGCTTCGAAAAGCAACAAGAGGAGAATTCCAATGAGATACCACAACTTCATCAACTCGGCAACACTGTAACACGGTTCAAAGTCATTTATTCACTATTTAACAATTGAAAAAGAGTATATTGTTCGATCGACAGCATCGACTATTTCAAGCACTCATTTTGATCGGACTGTGCGACATTTTTCACTTCATTCTTATTCAAAACAAAAATCAATTCTCGTTTTTATTGTCACGTTTAATTGGTGAACTCACGCTTCTGTAAACATGAAATTAAAAAAAAAAATTGTCCAGTACTCGATAAAACCAATGTGGTCAACGCACGGATTTTTTTCTGCACAATTACTTCCACACACACATTCACGTCGATTGAATTTTTCGATTATTTACAACGTAAAAAAACACCCACAAAGTATTCACACGTCAATGACGCAAAAAATGTGCACAATTTTTATGGATCGTTGCAAAAAAAACGATTTTTATCAATAAAAATTGATTAATTTTGCAATTGAAACTGTTGATTCAATGGAGTTTTTTGTTGTCTCCTCACACTCCCTCTTTGGAAAGTAAATAGTAAAACTTTTGCAAAACAATAATGATCATGTAAATCCGAAATTTGAATATCAAGCCGTTTGCGTTAATCTGAAATCGTTTTGGACCTGTCTGTGCATGTGCTTATTATCGGTTGTATAGTTCGTTTGATACTGTTGGTGAATGAACGAAAATTCAAGCTATGCACCCGTACGTTGCGATGATACACACGCTGTATTCTTGTGTGGAGCATATATCCTAGAGACGCGCTCTTGTTCTCTCGCTATTTCAACAACAACACACTAGCACAAAATCCAATGCGATGAAACTGAATGAGCGAAAAAAAAAGAAAACAGACAGACGCACGCACATTCTCTCACACGAGACCATCATCACAATCATTATCCGCATTTGGTAGAAATAGCATCGATGTTTATGTGTGTGTGTGGATGTAGTAGCTACATTACATAGTACAATGATTATTTTGATACAAACAATGACGATGAGTGAATTGCGGAAAAGCGGTTTGTTTACACTGCCAAATCGTTGTGTGTGTAGCTGTAGTCATGCATATTTTGGATGCTGTCGAGTGAAAATGTCAATGGTTCGTGAAATAAATTTTCCACTCAACGATGCAAGTGGTTGAGTAGTATGCGTTCAAGAGTGTAATATTACTTTTCCTAATGCATTTGAGTGTTATATTGATAGAAAACCACGTGCTTCAGCCAACATGTGCACTATACAACCGGCACTATACACACATAAAAGAGAAGAAATAGAAAAACGACTCGTCAACTGACTTTTTACTCGGGCAGCACATTTTCCACCAATCGCACCATCGTCTATATCGAAGGTAAAAAAAAGACTAGATGGGATGCGGTGAGTGATGAACGAATATCGTGTTGGATGGAAAATCGAGCCGAAGATAACAGACAGCAGAAAGGAGGCATATTTCTCTCACTAGTAGATACAGCCGCCGAAGAATATGTGTCATAAAAGTGAACAATTGCAACACATGATTCGTGGAAAAGGATGGATAAAACCAAAACCGGAAAGAGACAAACAGTGTGACTGCCACGGCACACGGATGGATAGAATGTGTATGCATGTGTAAAATATGGATATATAGTAGCTCCTTCTTCTCAACAGTTGTCTTAAGTGGTCTCTCTTGTAAAAGACACTCGAACGCAATCCAATCCGAAAGTGGGCTGATTTTTTTCCACATCCGTTTTATTTATGCTTGCGCGCTTTTGCCTGGAGAATTCAACATTTTGCCATCAACAAAATTTAATGAACAATTCACAGCTTTACGCACCCACCGAAAGATGGTGCACGACGTAATGGTTTCGAGTTTTGATTCGATATGAATGAATGTAGATGGGGAAATGACTTCATGACTGTATAACAGTTTTAAATCAACGGAATGTGAACACTGAACAGAGTGGATTTGAATGCAACACATTTCATCGATGCTTAAATAAGGATTTCAAAATCGGAATTTTATTTAAAAAAAAAGATTTTTTCAAATTTTAAATGACGCAATTTTATATTCGACACTCAACAAGTCATGCAACATCGGTGAGATGTCGTTTGATTGGATTCTTGGTCTTTTAGAATATTAAGACCGAAAAGTATATTCTATAACGACGTTACTCATTGTTTTTTCATCTGATTATTTCAATATTATTTTCAAATAAATGATTTTTGTGGACTAAGTGATTATAATATGCCTTAAAACTTCCGATGGCTCAAAATTAATATACCAAAATGATAATGAAGTGCATAATTTTGAAAAATGTAAAATTAAATTTGATTGATATACAAAATAACAATAATTTTATATTATTAAAAATACCTGCAGCTAATTAATTGACGATTGATTTGATTGAACAGTTTGATTGAACAGTTGTCGGTTGATTTCAATTTTTCGCATTAAAAATGTAATCATTCAAAGTGTCACAATATTATGAAAATATTGATGTAAAAGCTGAAATGTACCAGTGTTTTTGTTGTTCTGCTGGTTAAACGTTTTCACTGTCCATTCAAGTGTTTTGTAAATTGACTTTTTGTTGTTGTTGAATGTACAGCGCAAAAAAAAGCTGGAATTAAAAGGAAAGAGGATGTAAAATAAAAATTTATTTAGTGGAAACGACACAATAAATCGACAATAAAAATGGATTTACATTTTATTTATTGCCATTTATCATTTTGTAGGCAGGTTTGTTGTTTTGTTCATGATGTTTGGATACGGGAGCACTGCACAAAATGCTGAGTGGATGCGCAACAAGTGGCCCATTTATCTTTTGCAAATATTACCTACACGCACAATACAAATCCACTGAATCCAGCCACCGAATATACTCGCATTCAGTTCTATTCACACGTATGTGCCACATTGAATTTTCACCAATTTTACTGTGCATGTTAAACATAATACGGTATTGTGTGTGTATAGTTAGATCATCATGCTATTCACACGTCGTCGAGTGTGAGCGCAACGACCCTCTTGCACATAAAACATTTATTAGACATATTATTTTTATGAAATCCAATTGAGTTGAATACCAAAAGCTCTCTCATCACCCTCACTTCGCTATCGCACTTTCTCTTTCCTTCTCTTGCACACACACACGGTGCCAACATATCAACAGACCACTTCGCTCCAACTGCGAGATATGTGCAACTCAAAAGTCTCTATTATCTGCCATTTTCAATGGGATAAATTGGCGTGAGCACATTCACTTCATGAAGGAGATTATCGGTCATTCAAGCATTGCATACACAAACTCACACTTGAACATAAATTCAATGGTGCTATGAGCTGTTAAAGTAACAATGAAGAGTTTTTAAGTCATGAAAACGTTTCAACATTCACAAAATGTTCACATAGATTCCGATTCATTTGACTGTTATTGTTCAATTTTCACCTTTTATGCCTTAATCAAATTTCATTCTTTACATTATTATATTTTGAAGAAAATCGTATAGATTTCAATTCATTTGTGCTTTTTAACATATTTTTTTTCCTTTTTAAATGTGGCTTTTGATCATATGCAGCAGTTTGTATTGAATTAATGAATGGTAAAGATTTTGTATTTTGCGTACGCCAAAATAAACTGTTTTCATTTTTTCAACAAATGGAATTTGACCTGTACTATGTGACAAAGGTGTGGAAGCTCCCCCATCTATTGAAGCAGTGTAAGTCAATAATAAAACCGAAGAACTTGAAAAAAGGGGAAAAAGTTGTTTGGCCACTGAACAATGCCGGTAAGAATGTCAAGCAACAACAACCCTTTTCATTTTCGAGACAAAGATTGGAATCGTGCTTATCGCAAATAGTCAATAGCTGGCGGTGGTTTGGTGTTTTTCATTGCTCCAAATTGAACTCTGTTCTTGTGTTAATGTTCGGTGTCTAAAAAAAATGTATTGCGTGACCATTTACAGAATGGGATAGAAGATCCGGAAGTTTTTGATTATCGAGAAAAACGGTTTGTTTCCATTTTGTGTTGTAATTTTATTTTTATGGCTATTAAACTTCGGGTTTCGAGTACTTGGTGTGCGGTACGAAGTAAATAATACATATTATACTTTGATTATGCTGCTGCTTTTTATGTTTCCAAGTGAACAGGTAATTAAAAGCAATACCATCAAAATGAATAAAAAAAGAAGCAAAAAACCGCCTTTGAAAAGAATTGCAATATAGATAAATTTTGCTTATTTATGATAAAACGTTAGCATTTTGAATGAAAACAGATAAAAGGAATTGAGCATACTTATTAAGGAAAACTTGTACGGCATAAGTTCATGCGAAGTTTTTTTATTCGGGTAAATCACAAAACGGCATCAATGCTGTTGAAAAAGTTGCATCTCTGCATCATCCAGTAGTACATTCTTGAAAAAAGTATCTTTTGAGCCAACAAAAATCAATTTTTTTGAAAAATGAAAGCAAAACAATCAAAAGCACAAGGATAAAGTCTACACGGCATCGCACGCTATACACATTTCATTAAGTAGGCCATTAAACGAACGATAATGCGACAGTTTCGTGGCGGGAAGCCGAAAAACTTGAGTCAAGAAATAAACAAAGACACGATATTTTTAATAGAAATTAGACTGCAGTGCATTGAAGTGGGTGAAAGGAAAACATGAATAATTATCAATTTAAGACCAGAAATCCGGAATGTGCAACAAAAATATAAATTCACCTACAATATAGATATACAAAAGGTGCTTTGGGGGAAAATTTGACATGCATCATTTTGTGTCGAGTCTCTCATTTTTCGCGTTGATGCATTTCGCATATATAATGTTGATGGCAATTTTTCTCTCGACTCCCTTACTTCCGCTCATCCCCTCTCTTCCATTCCGTCTCAAGTACTCTTCAAAGTACACAAAATATACACGATGCAAATTGTACCCAACAAACCGACTTAACTATCTCACTCATTCTATTGGTTACCGTGGCATTCTGTTTGCAATAGCAACTTTTGCCTAGTTTTCACCCTTTTCAAATTCAATGACCCATTATTTCTTAAGCAAACTTGAACAAATACAGAAAATATGGCATGGAACGACGAAAGCGTAAATAAGAAGATAAAGAGAGAGAGAGAGAAAACGAAGAAAAAATTATGGCAGAATATAGAAGGTGCTTCTTTAAACTTGAAACTTGTGCAAAACCACATTGCATGATGAGCACAAGCGAATGCAAACAAATATACCAAGTATTGGTCTTGGAAAGAGCATCCAAAGATTTACTCGCATATAATTTTCAAAAGATATGTCGTTAGTGCGGCACACGAAGAATAGATTCACATACATGTGAATGGAATTTTGCGTCTTTATACCATATTTGCCGTCAAATAACATCACTTTTAAGAGCTGCACCAAAGCATTACCATTAACATAATTTTTATGAATTTACCTATGTGTATGTTCCGGATGTGACAGTCTCAGTACAAAAATATTTTTGACAATTTTCTTTTTGGTGCAAAAATTTCACCACAACGGTGATTTATGGATTTTTAATCATAATTTTGAGAGTTAAACCTTGCATTGCTTCAACAACTATAGTCCGTATTAATTGTTAAAATCAAGAGTCAATTTAGAGTGTGCTAAAATAGCATGGCCCTCGTTCGGTCTGCATATGCCATACATATGAATCGTATATTTCATCGTTCGCGAAAAGTTTGTGTTCCATTCAGAGATGCTTATTGTGGAAAACTTAGCAAATATTTTTGCGCACCAAATATGCATTGA